TAATTGATGATTCTTGAATATGTTGCACTCTGTTTCGGCTTTCACTGCCGGTGATCGTAACGCAGCACCTTCACGGGTTTAAAAGGGAAAGAATCAGTTATGGTCAAATAATTGCAGCCTATATGCTTTTTACCTTATGGTATACTCAAAGGTACTCATTAGGCATTTGTTATGGCAAAACGGAGTTGGACGTCTTAACTCAATAATTAATTGAAGCGTATAAGTTCTACAAATATTACCATGGTAAACTTTTCAGGCACCTCGCTGTATGGCGAATTGTAATCACAAGACACTTATTAACCTGTCCAACTCGAATATTTCATTTTCCATGCAATTTTATCGGCCCGATGATGAATTGCTTAAAACGTATGCTTGCTGAATAGACTTTTTAAATGGAAATAGGCTATGGCTCGGTTAGCCTACGAAAACAAATTTCACTGATATATTGTGGTGTCTGACATTTAGAAACATCGTAATTACTGTCAATTGGTGGTATCGTGATTTGTCAGCTCTGATGTTATGTCTCGCGAACAATCCCTCAACACAGATCCTTTAAGACGTTCTTCAGCGCAATTTACATCCCCTCAGGGATATAAGTTTTAGGGTCGAAACAAACATCTTTTCGGTCGGATTTAAGAAGTCCATCCGAATCCTACAAGATTAAAATGGATGAAATGGAGTAGGCTAATGATGAGGCCCATGAATAACGATCTTATAATTATCTTTTTTTCTAAAAGAGAGTGGGCAAATCGTGAAGGTAGCCAACAAACAGGCATTCTTGACTCATTCATTGCCAATTCTTCATGATTTCGAAAATTGCAGTCTTATGCATCGTTTATCGTTTTCCAACGTTCGTTTTTGTACATAGCTTTTTTATTTACGGTGAATCGAATAGTTTTCGCTAAAACTTAAACTTTCAAAATAAAGCCTAGCTGCATCGAGATACTTTGGATTTATCTCATGGCAAAGTCTTTTGAATGCACAAGTTGACCGACTCTTACTGGCTGAACCTGAAGTAGGTGACATGTTGCCCTTGTAGCGACCCTGTACTTCTTAGATATGCTTTCCTCGGACGCCGCGGCGACAGGTCATGTCTGGCATGACCACCACGCGTGCGCAAGAGACAATATTAAAACCCCGCGTTCAAGGTCATTCTCTGTCTGGTTCACTGGCCAACCACTTCTCGAGGACAGTCCACAAAGGCCCATAGTGCGGGGATTGAATACGATCAGACACTCCCGGAGCAGGCGACCAACTGCCTATTGCAGACCTCCAGACCCGGCGACTACACCGACCGGAATCTGACTCTGGACTCCGGCCCACTCATGGCTGGCGTGCACCCGTCTGCGAATCACTTACCTATTACTTACAGTCTACTCCTGCTGCACCTTATTAAATTATCCCTAACACTCTGGCCTTCCACGCCTTAGATTATCAACTAGTTTATAACCGTTGGGATACGTTCTATCGTCTATTATCTGGCCGGAATACATCGTATCCCACACCCTTACCATTTCGCCAAGCATCCATTGTTGACAGCTGTCTGTTGTTGTTCGGAGCAAACATGCTGAAGTCAGAGTATGTGTTTGCTGATGTTGTCGTCGCGAAGTTGGAGGGGCTGCGAAAAGCGCTGAAGGGATCCTTCACAGTCTGAGGTTTCCCTAACCCAACAGGTGTCGGCAGCGCTGCCGTCTTCTCGTTTGTGGCGAATAGCGAAGGTGAAGAAATCCATGGGCTCCGTGGCTGCTGATGCGTTTGAGTAGAGGGGGGCATAAGAGAGAGTGAAGGAGGCCTTTGTGGGGTCGATGGAAGACACTGTCCTGCACTTCGAAGGAATTTGGGGAAATTTGGCGACGATGTAACCTGTCGAAGGACGAAGAGGCAGGCTTTCAATGTTAAACTACATGTGACTACATCGGCAGTTGCATATCGCTTGTACAGAATGTAACAACAGCGTAGCAACAAGGGTTCTTATTGTATTCAGTTGTAAAAAACGCCGGCCGTGGTGGTAACTTGTTTTCTGTTATCTCGCGACTTAGAGCCTCGGTGTCTACTCGGTTTTTTAAGCTCAATTAACCTCTTACTATTAAATCACTTTTATAATACTATCTAGGCTCATGTCTGCCGTGTCCATAGCAGAATGATTATCGTACGACTTTTTATCTGATCGAAGTTGAGCCTGAGTCTCCCCTTGGTGTGAGACTACCGATTGCAAGCTTAAGTTGTTGTAGCTTAAAGGAATAATATAAATTAAGGGATAGAAGAATGATATTTCCAAAAAAACATTTTTATGGCTCAAATCTTACCCTCGTATTCCATCCTGTTGTCAGAGCAGGTCTTTCTCCACCGCCGTGGTTATAGTAAATAAGATGACTATCTAGATCTGGATCCAAATCTTAGGACATTCTAGTCTATGGTTGTGGGGTGAGTAAATGAGGATGGTAAATATAGCACTATTGGCCACGTTATATTCCGGAAGGTTTCTTCTGCAGTACTTGCAAAATGCTCTTTCCTTGTGCACCTAGTTC